TGTCAATTTGGCCTTGGTAACTGAACACAGTGGGAACAATCTGCGTGTGCCATGTACCTCATCGTGTTGTTGATGGGCTGTTGGTACTTGCCGAGCCCCTTGAGGTCATCATGTCTCCAAATCTTGAAAACATGAATACCGTGAATGCCCTGGTTCTCATCTCGGTAGTAACGTTGGTTCTGCGGCACACGGCGAAAGTTCGGTTGTACATCATGTTTGAAATGACATTACTGTAGAACCATGAGGTCGCTGCCATGAAGGAGTCTGAATATATCGCACATGGATGTGCTCGAGGTAGCTGATCTGGAGGCAAGTCCTCCGGTTCTTCCGGTCTTGCTGGTTCTTGACGTTCACGCAGTGACTGACTCCTCATCACCCCCATAGTCTGGCTCTTCATCTCTTCATCTCCTTATCTTCGTCTTCTTCGCGAGCCGTCTTTCGCCCTCAGAGAAAGGATCTGGTTCCGGGCGTATGTCTTTCTCCTTCCTCATCCCGAGAGATCGCCACAGGGGTTTGTAACACAAAGAGGTCAAGCACTTGAAAGTTCAATGGCTGCGAGAGCAGACACACATCCTGGAGCCAACGATTCCTAACGAGGTTCGAGAGATTCCTTTTGTTGTAAGAGGTTCAAGACAGTTCATGGTTCAACAGTGCAATCGTCAGTGGATATCCACTTCGGTGAACACCAGAAACGGTGTACTTCATAGGAGATATTCTCCGTCAAAAAGTTGGAAACGCACGAACCATTGTGAGTGTTGTCAGCCATTCAACAAGGAACACGTTGTTCTGAACGGAATTGATGAGCTCGTCGGCCTTGGCAGAGCTCTTCGTCAAACAATCTGCGAGGCAATATTCTGAACGTCTATGGCCAAAATAGTCCTCCGCCTACTGTTGTTCTCTTTATGAAGCATTTCAATAAGGTGCATGGATTCCTTCTGTTCTGGTTGATGAGTTGTTGATGCAGTGCGTACTAAATTGTTTGCATCAGTGCGAATATGAACATCTGCTAGTTCACCGGATGTATCTGACCAAAACCCTCGTATAAGAGACGTGTCCAAAAACATCGCATCAGTCTGTGCAACTTGGCCACTGTGGTGGACGTGGTTGTTGCAGTGATCTTACGAGTTGCAGAATCAACAAGGGGTCCTCTACAATTCGGTGAATATTTATGAAGATTTCGACCTTGCTCGAGGAAAATCACACGCCACCGTTGTTCCTATAGGAGGCATCAGGGTATCCGACTAGTCTAGTCTTGCCCTTAGCAGGCCAGAATCTCATACGCAAGGCAAACTCTCAATGGTTCTGACGGTCTTGTTGCTGGCTCTGACATCACCAATAGTAGGAGATGAAGCCGTTGATGCACACCTGGAACATTGATATCCAATATGAAATTGGGTTCTGGATTGAAGCCGGTTGATCTGTCCAAGCACACTTCGGTGCGCTGTGCGCATGGCTGGATTCAACTGTACATCGTCCTTGAGGCGCTTCTCGAAGTGAATCTCTTGGAGTTTATCAATGGCAATAGTTTGGCGAAATTTAATGGAATAATCTCCGTGCTGTGGAACATGTTTCCACTGGATTCGCTGTCCTAGCAAGGGGATCTTGGCCATGATCCTTTGTTCATATGTGTTGTCACCTGTCATGCGAAGATCATCTGCATGTAGGGGCGTAACACCACTTGTCTACCTTGCGCATTTGCCTGAGACTGGGCATAAGACGGCTCCAAGTCGAATTAGATTGAGTTGAGCGTTGAGGAGACTCTTCGTAAGACGGACCGCTGTCTCAGCTCGGTTCGGCCAAGGTGTCATGGTTATTGAAGAAAGTCTCCCAGTTCCCTGTCATGAATGCTTGGTCTCCAACGACACATTTCGGCTGAACATGATATTGATCAAAATAGTTCCGTGGCAAAGGAATATTGGTGACATCAGTTGTCCTTTCTACTACTTCTGTGGCTAGAAGTGTAGTGGCTCCGTCAAGGGCTACAAGAACGGGGGGTCCGCCAAACCTTTTTGGAACAAAACTTGGGGTGTTCACCGGTTCCTAAGGTAACTTGACACTGATCAATACATGTCAACTCGCCAAGGGTTTCTGCTCTAAGGCCATTAGTTTTGCTTCATGATGGAGCTATGGCTGCCCTCTGACAAGGTTCGCGTTCAGCTCGCGAGTGCAGCGAGTCCTGAATCTGAACTGCTCCCCTGACATGTGATGATGTTGCAGGTGGAGTGTTCATAGTTCTTCTGGTATTGAAAGTCGTGCATGGACACGTTTTAGCGCAAGTGGTAATGTAGAAGGTGGAGCATCTGCCGCTGCTTCTTGTTGCGCACTAGGACTCTTGGCTCAGCGGCTTTATCAGTTGGTAAGGCTCTACCGGAGGCTGTGTGGCTTCCTGTGCATCGACACTGTGGTCCACTGCGAAGGTTTTGGGTTTTTTACCTTTGTCGTCCTTGCCAGAATCCTTTCCTTTATCCTTGGATTTGCTATAGGGTTTTTTCCTTTTCTCTTTTGGTACCAAGGTTGATAGGCTTGATCGGCGGTGGAATCATCGGCCATGTTGGCCTTGCCCCGCCTGACTGTGGTTTCTTGAAGCTGGAAAGTGGGCTCTTCGGCGCTTGCCCCTGCCTTTTCTGCCTTTTCGCCGCTTGCCGGACTTAAGAGTCCGACGTTGGAACCTTTTTGAGAACAAAAGCATCATGGTCTTCCAACTGCCAAAGGGCTTTCATTGTCTAATCGACATGACAAAAGCCTTCTGCTCCTTCTTCATCTTCTACCCAGAACGGATGTTTGGATCCTGGAAGGGAGATTCTGGTTGTGATGAAGATCGTAGTACTGGGCCTTTATGGTCTCATGAGTTTTCTGGGGGAGCTGGATGCCTTGTCCTTCTGTCAGCTCACTCTGTATGATGAAGAACAGTGTCAGAATGTTGTTTGACAGTGGCAAAGCCTGCGAATGCTCTTGCTTCTTTCCTCGGACATATTTGTCAAAGTTTTCTTGGAGTCCTGCGTCAAGGTACGTCAGAGCGGGCACTATGGCTGCTGGGGCTCCTTGCGTGCATCATGGTTGTTAATTCAACTATTCTCTGATTATGCTGCGCACAGATTCCCAAGATGCTCGCAGTCTTCGTAGTAGAATCTTGTAAAGGTCACTTGTTACCTTGACAATGATTGAAGAAATATCCGCGAAGAACGTTGGGAAAGTACTCTACCCCAGTAGTTGGATCTATGAGTTTCTTGTTGTGTGTTGCAATTTTGCGCTCATCGAAAGTTTAATGGTCTCTTCATGGGAACTCACGCCCATATGACGGCTTCCCAGGAAAGCTGCTGCGTGCGGTTCTGTTCCATATAGAAGTCCTCTTCACTCAACATCCGAGGTTGCAAATAACCGGGCCCAAGTGGCCCCGGAATGACTACTCCGATGCAGAAGGAATATACTGTAAGAGGTAAATGGCCAAATGTGTAAGAAAGCAGTGTTTGGTTCCCGCGGTCCCCAAACCCTAAACCAACCTACCAACCCTAAACTCACCCTAAACCCACCGTAAACCAACCCCAGCCAACCCTCAACCCCACACCAACTAACCCTAAACAAACCAACCCCCAAACACCCACACCCCCGCCGCGCCCTGCCCCCCCACAAGAAGGGGAGTGGGAGGGGGATCTACGGCCTGGAACATATACACCAAACCAAACAACACAAGCGCAGGGCGACTTGGAAACAAACATCAAAAAACCAGAATTGAGCACAACCAACCCTGGCGCCATAAAGGGCTGGGTGTTGTTGCGGGGCCTGGAGACACTGTGCACACTTTGATGAATTCACCTTCAACACGAAAAAGCAATGGGGACTTCCAACTTGCAAACAACAAACACACGGTGAGTGTTGGACTGGTTGGGATGGCACCCCGGCGCCTGAAGCCGGAGAATCAGCTCTTTCCTCTGTTCGTCTGGAGTCCGCTCGTTCGGAGTCCGCTTCCTCAGCGTCCACCACTGACGTGCGCAGCCGCTGGGGCTGGGGACGCACTTCGCCGCTCATGGCGCGCTCGCTGCGGCCCCCGCGGGCTCCGAGCCGCAGCGGAAGGAATCGGAACCGACTCATGTCCAAATACCCCGGTTTGTCAAAATACACTGAAACAAAGGTTATCTGAAATAAGGGCTCCGTTTAAACCAGGGTCTGCTTTTTGACCGGCGCGGGTTTTAGCGAGCATTCGTTTCCAAATGGTCTGAAAAGTGGGTCCGAGCAAAAAAACAAAATTGTCATCCCATGGCCTCCTGAGCAGGAGGCAGAGGTTGCAACAATTGTGGACCATCATTGCAAGGAACATGACCAAAGCCCATTCAAGCGGGATGAATCTGCAAGCAGGGGCCCTTTTTTGTAGGAGCTCCTGAGAAAAGCCTGGCATACGGCCCCCCTAAGTCAGGGCTTTGCTGGGAACAAGAAAGGCGGGGGAGGGCAACAGCTAGGGATTCTGGACATTACCAGAGTTGCGTGACAATCGCACAATACCTTGAACTCAGCCGAAGCACATAGTCAGATCTTTCCGTGGCTCGAGTGGATGAGGAGCCTTTCAAACACTTTGCCAACAACTGCGAACTTCCATTCCTTGACTCAAACAAACGACGGTGAGATAGCCCCCTTCTCTCACCTTCTCACCTACACATATGCAGGCCACTTTTGGAATACTCGAGAAAGGGGTGCTTCATCACGGTGTTTTTGTTTGGCAAGATCCTTAAACTTTGTGACGATATAGGGGTGTTTTGTTCTACGGTACCCTCCTGTGCGGTTGGGGCAAAGCAAAGCCCAAGGAAACCACCCACATAGGGAGACAAACCCAGTTGCATGTGTCAACATAATGAAGCCCCAAAATTGTGCTTTCCTGTTGAGTGCCCTTTTATAGCCATGGTGAACAGGGCGCCCTCAAAAACACACACACACAGACACCCGGAGACACGCAGTTGCGCAGTCACAAAGCCTATGAGGACCACATTCCCGAACAATGCCAGGCAGGCGTTGGACAAAATGCGGCCATCGGCGACCTCCTGAGGATAACGGAAGCAACTAGGTTGTTTCAGCGGCTGTCCATGGGAAGAAGCCCACTTGCACTGACAAAGCAGCAGAGGCGCTGGGTCCTTTAGCGTCTGGAGAACTCAACAGAGCAAACCACACTTCAACAGCTAGAAGGGGTCAACACGCCATGTTAAGCCCAAATCGTGTGAGCATGTTGGGCCCCTAAGTTGTATTCATGGAGTGGGCAGAAAGATGGCAAAGGAACAGGTTGTATGGCCTTGCTGGCTTGAGGCGGCGCTTGTGATCCTCTAGTTGACCCCTCCCCCACAAACTAAGAGGAAGAAGACAACACACCCAGGAAATGTTCAAAATGGAGGACCGCCTCTTGGTATTTAAAGGGAAACCAAAACGACACCACCCATTTGGGGGTCTCCTATTTTGAGAAACACCCAATATGAAGAAAGGCCCAAACTGCGTGAGTGAGTTGTTTTTGCATTTGCATATTTTTTCAATTTGGCCATTGGCATGTTCGCATGTCGATCTCGCACTCTCACACTCAGCCTCATGCAACGGGTGGGGGGGTAATAGCGGATGTGTTCACGCGCGCGGTCTCATTGCCCCGCGCACGCCTGGCAGTTCTGTTGCTCAAACGTTTGTTTCTGATGACTTGAGTCTTTCCCCAGGTCTTGACACCATGTTTCCCAGGCCAGGGCTTGCACGCTCTCGTATGCTTTGTGAGATTGGCGTCGCTGGCAAAGTGCAACGGGTCTGCTGCCACGCGCGGCATTGCATCTTTAACTTTGCTTCCATGCAGCGTATGCTTGGTGGGCAGCAACAAGTGTTTTCCACTTTTTCAATCAAAAGTTCAGAACACCCCCGCACCCTCGCAACTAAGCTGCTTCATGCACACGCACGAAAGCTGTGCCCCTCAGGAAATGCTCTGCGAGCCACTACAATTTGCGCAAGTCGCTCTGCGCAAGTTGCTCTGTGCAAGTTGCTCTGTGCAAGTTGTTCTGCGCATGTTGCTGTGAGCAAACCAAGCATGATCAGGAGCTACACGTGTTTATTTCCTTGCGCAGGCCACACGGAATGCGAGCGTATGTGGCAAAGAATCAAAGATGAGCAAGTTGGAAAAAGCATAAAAACAGATTTCACGCCTGCGTCTTCCAGACATGAAAAACACTTGCAAGTGTCCAATTCCTTGCGCAAGCCACATGAAATGCGAGTGCATTTTGTTTTGCACGTCCATGAGAATACCCAAAAAACGAGTCGCTGCAGGCTGGTTTGACCAAAAGCTTCGAATCCGTTTGGAAGTCGGGCTTGAGAAGCCTGGACTCTTGGTAAATGCGGCATATCTGACCCACCCCAAACAATGCCAGCACGAAGAAACACTGGAAAGCTTGTCGAATCTCTCAAGAAACTAAGACCGAACAACGCACAAAACACGCGGAGTATTGCCCGGCGATGCAACCTCGTTTTTGTTGCCTACTTCCCGAGCTCCCTCTCGTTTTCGAATGATCAAACTTGATTCACGGGGTATCGCCTTTCTTGCGAGTCTCCTATCGGTTGCCAGGTGTTGTGCATTTTCACGGTAATCTGCACGATTCCTCATATCTAGATGGAAGATATCAGCAATATGTGGGACAACTCCAGCCCCCTCCAACAAGCGCATATTGTGGACTGCTAGAATGTGCCCTAACAATCGGTGCGATGTATTTAAGGGGCTTGGGTGCTGTGAGTTCTCCAGTGGATTGCCGAATGAGGGAGGGTGGGTGAATTGCAACATTCTCACCTATCGAACACAGAGAAAATGAATGGAAGGATCCCACCCAGTAGAGTGGGATTGGCATGTGTCAGCATGGGCTCGGAACCTCATGGAGAATGTGAGTGGATAATGCTAGTTTGAAACCGACAGGATTGCTTTGCGGATGTTTGAAGAAAACTCATTTGAGCGTCTCAACAATCTTCCTTCCGCTTTGACACGGACTATGCGTTCTTTGGCTTAAACAGAAACGAAACGAAACAAGTTCAAATGTCTGCTCCTGGGTTTGGTCATCTTTGCTCACTTGCTCGAAGCAACCCTGCTAGAGTTTCAAATGAGGGGGAGTGAGTTATGGGCTTCGTATTCCATGACAATCCCAGAAGTGGACAGCTTGCTGCCTTTTCAAGAGACCGCGGGCCTTCCACGACTTTCTGGAGGTTCCGAAGTTCTCTTTGTGGAGAAGGTGCTTGGAAGGTGTTTGGTAGCTGCCGTTTTTGCAGTAGAGGGTGACCAGGCCGAACTCTTTGGGGATTTGGCTTCTACCCTTCCGACCAGCTTCGGCTGAAACGGCGCCTTGGGTATGTTGGCGGGGAAAATGCTGCTGCGGCCGGTGGCAGGGCTGATATCCACCTGGCAACCCAAAGTTTCCAAGTACCTCATACAAGGGCCTCAGCTCTTGGAATGTGATTGTGGGGTACTATTAAACCAAACTAGCTCATGATCACGGGTTGATTATTTTGCCCCTTGTGTTCGGCTCAAGCCTCCATTCAGCGGTCAAAGTTCAGATCCGCGAAGGAACTGAAGGAACCCACCACAAAACAGCCATCCCTTGGCTACCCGGTTGACCTTCAATGGACACCCGGTGATCAAAAAAAACAAAATAGTTGCTTGATACTGGAGGGCCCAACTAATCTGTGAGAATCTTTCACTTGTGGGGAAATTGCGCGCCCCCATTAAGTCTGGCAGGTTGATAAATCTGGAGACGACATCGACATCTGTTACAGCAAACCAACAAGAGGTTGCTCAAAGAATGCTATAGTGGATTCAAGATGTTTAAACTATTGCCAACTCCTCGCAATCCTGAACAAAGAGGAACGTTCCACTCCCAAACTACAAGGTAGGTACGCCACACATGCAAGCCTCCTAGATGGCTCTCCAGACCCCAGGATCCTGAAACAGGTTTACCAAGAAGGTCCTCCAGGAGTCGACCTGGAAATTCGCTTGAAAGACTTGAGAACCATCTTCGGTTTACCAGGTTCTCCTGATGACCACCTGGCATCCCGCATGGTGGCGTTTCTCCTCCTCGTATTTGCCTGTATGCCAATGCCACTTAGCCATTTTTGTCCAGTCGTTTGCATAGAATGCTAATGTTGGATCCTGTTCAACAACTGGGCTCACTATCATAGACACTGTTTATCCTAATGCAGACTCCTGGGACCGTCCCAAAACACAAGAGCACGATACTACACTAGAATTGACAAGGCATCTGGGTCTGGCACTCATCCCATTCGCCTGCAAGCCTAGATGCACACGACCATGTTCTTTTCCCGGCCATGCCAGGGTCATACCTTGGCACCTCAACACCATGCACGCATGGACACACGTACGTTTCTGTCTTAAAGGTGTGGGCAATTCAATCTCTTCAACACAAGGCTGACCCAACCCAGACCCCAACCCAGACCCCAACCCAGACCCCAACCCGGACGCCCCCCAACCCAACCAAGACACCCAATGACTGTTGGATGTTTGGTTTGTGTTTGTTTCTGTGTGTCTTCTTCTTCTTTCCGTTTTTTTGGGGGGAGGGGGGGTCATACTAAAGATGGTCCAACAATACCACCCGTATGCCACCGTAGCAAACAAATCGCACGACCATGTGTTTCGGTCAAAGGCGTATAACGAATTCAAAAGGCCATATTGGGGGTCCCAGCCATCCCTTAATCTGAAACCTTCCGCCGTGTATGATCGTGACAAAACGGGCACCCCCTTTTCTTAGGGGGTATAACGTGAATCCTTGAACAACAAATCCGACCCCAGGAAAACCCACCGACCAATTCCTCTGAAGACGGGCTTGGTCGAAACCCTGAAATCCTTGGGGCTGCTTCAGCCCAACCACCCCTGATCTCGCATGCTGATTGTTTTTTCCTGGTTGAAAAGCTAAATTTTGCATGTTTTCCTATCTTCAACCCAGCAAAAACTGCTGTTAGCTGTTGGGTCTCTTCTGTCAGGCACGCCTGCGAACGGGCCGTGCCATCCGCCTGAGGCTTGTGAGCGGGGAATGGTCCCAACTCAAGCAAAAACTTCGGGTGGCAATTCCTTACCATCCCCGTGATGCTTGGGGTGTCTTCCTTGGCCAGAAATGGATCTCCTGTGCGAGGACTGGGTCCCTTTTCTGTGGCCAATATAACAATGGCGATTTGGCCAATGAATTGAACATGAAAGGGACGCATCACCTCTTCAACTGGGAATATAGACGAGCGCACACTCACACACAGACAGACAGACAGACAGACAGACAGACAGACAGACAGACAGACAGACAGACAGACAGACAGACAGACAGACAGACAGACAGACAGACAGACAGACAGACAGACAGACAGACAGACAGACAGACAGACACACAAACAAACAAACAAACAAACAAACAAACAAAACAAACAAAACAAACAAACAAACAACCAAACACACACACACACACACACCCACGCACACACGCACACACACACACACACTTGTGGAATCCCCCCTCTCTCGGTCCTTGTTGTGTCTCATCATTTCTTCTGCGAGGGTCAGGATCAAGCCCAGTGGGCACACTCTAGGTTCGGATCATGCACTTATAATTGTAGCTCAAGTGGAGTTTCGTCATCCTTGGGCCCTACTCGTCAGGGCCACAGACTAGACCCAAGGATGGCTGTGGCCTACTCCACATAATTGGAAAAAGAAAACGGAGATTCCGGACAGCTGGCGCTACCTTGACAAGTCACAAAGAACTCAGATCAGCCCTTGGCAACAGGGATGGACACACACACACACACACACACGTATATATATGTATACATATATATATATATACATAGGTATGTGGTTCCCCCCCGCCGATATATGTATATATATATATATATCTACATATGTATGTATGTATGTATGTATGTATTTGGTTCCCCCCCCGCCGGGACCCACCTAAACCAGGAAAAACAGGACAAACAAACAGTGGAAACAATCAGACAGACCAGGGACCAAAAAAACAGAACAATGCAAAAACACGGGTCCTCCAGAAGAAGGGTTCCCCCGGGACAGGAAAAAACAAAAACCAGAAAAAAGAAGGAAAAAAAACAGGGTCCTCCAGAAGAAGGTAGCAACAAAGGCCAAAACGTCCCACAAGGGGGCAGCCTGACTCTGAAAAGTAAAAGGCTTTGATATTTTGTTGTTTCTCAAAACAAGCTTGCCAGTGCCAATAAAGAGGGCCCCAACGCAGGCAGATTTAAAAAATATATTTGATCTGCCTGTGTTGGGGCTCTCTTTACTGGCACGTGCAAGCTTGTTTTGAGAAAGAATTCCCAGATCAAAGCCTTTTGCTTTTACTTTTCAAATGTAGCTTTCTCCAAGCCCTTAGGCCCTTGGAAGCTCGAAGCCTGAGACTAAAATGTTGGCGATGAATAACTTTGAAATTCAGCAAGAGGCAGCCCAGGATCCACTTTAACGGGCAAGCTTTTCTGGAGGAAACATTCCCAGGTCAAAGTAGTCTTTTCTATGTCATTCCCAGCTCAAAGGCTGACCCTAAGTCTTGGCAATACTCAATTTAGATTTGACAATACTAAATCAAGCAACGGGGTAGCCCACATTGCCGCTGATCCACTTTCATCTGCTGTGTTGGGGTCCCAATTTTGTCTAAGCCCTTCCCAGCTCAAAGGCTCAGGCCATACCAGATTTCGAATTGGCAATCATCTAGGCTGGAAAAGCCTGTACCTTATAAAGGCCAAGGATTCTTCTAAACGGATGTGTCAACACGTTGGGAGTCCTGTCAATTTGGTGGAGTAGTATTTGTTGGGTTGATTTCCAGGCACGTTGTCACGTGCTCGTGGAAAATGCCGCCCTTCCAGGCTTGCGACTTGTTGCCATCGCCTCGCCCAAACCCTAAAGTCCTTCTTGAGCTGCTTAAGCAGCAAGTAAAAAAAACATGTCAAGCTCTCAAAACTAAAGCCTTATGGCAACCGAAATGAAAGACTAGGCGAGGAGTGGTCCAGGTACCTGGGGCACCTCAACAATTCCCTCAAACAATTGGAGGTTGGTTCCATTTTGAGTGGGTCCCGAACCCACCTAACGAAAGGTTTCAGCGGGTGGACACTCAACTGGGTGTTTGCATTCCTTTTTGAATCTCCGTGATTCCAACCCTGTTGGTCCTGGTGTGAAATATGAATTGACGATTTGGCTTTAATGGGGAAGCGCTCTCTTGTTCGAGTCGCTTTGGCCGCGAGGTACAGCGTGTAGCCGCTGGCCAGCTCCCAGTCCCCTGCGACCGTCCACCTGACGGCGCCTTCCAACATGGTACCCCATGCATTCGGAATCTCAGCACAAGAAAGCACAAGGAATGACCTCTATGAACTTCTGAAGTCTTATGAACATCCCTTGTGGCTCTCTTTAACCACATTCCCAGATTCATTCCCCATGCAAGTGCCCTGGGACATTTGTTGGGCAGTTCGACAGCCTCAAGGATTGACCTTTAAGGCCGAGGGACCTGGAGCTGACTCTTTTTGGCCCAGGTTGGAGGTCTGGGTGCCTGCATGGGGGTTCTCAAAATTGCTAGGGGTTCCAGGGCAGCCCAACCCCCCCTTTTTGTAGGCTCCGTGTAATTTGCGTCGTCTTTTGGAATAACACATTGTATTCCTGAAGAACCTACACCAAGGTTCCCCTGGCGGGTCAGGCGATTCCATGGAAGCGGCCACTGGAACGAAGTCTTCAGGGTCTTGCTTCCATGGACCGTTTGGGGGATCCCCCCCTGTTTTAGAGATTCGACTACGTGGAACATCGAACGAAGTATCTTTCTAGAGGAATCGCCTTTGTTTGATGATCCAGCAGCTCAAAGGCATGAGACTTTTAACACGAACTGTTGCGCTTGGACGGGTCAAGCTCTGCAGGGCCATGTCGGACACTACTCGAACCAGCGTGGTTGTCAAGGGCCAAAAAGGGCCGAGTATCAAATCCCAATGCATGGATTGAACACTATACGCCTGAGATCACGTCTTTTCTTGCTTCATGTCTCACGTTGGGTCATTTTGTATTGGACGAGATTAGCCCCCAAGAAGAGTGAACAAATACTGCCATGACCTCTAAGGGTTCTCCGAACTGAGCGATAGAGGCGCCCGAATATGTCGTTACTTGAGGGCTTGCCCTCGACTTATCCTAGACCCAGAACGCAAAAAAAAAGGAAAGCCAAACATAGACTCTCTCAAAGTTCACGAGAATGACTTCCATCAACACCGTGGTTTACTGGATGCAAGAATAGGCGAGAGGTGTTCGTTGTCTGTCAAGCTTTCTGGCTGTGAAGCAAAATTGGGCTATCACAGGTTGTTGGAGTTTGGCATTGTACACACCAAAAGGGAACCCAGACCTACTTTCTCAAGAAATTGTTGCTAGCAAAAAAACAAAACGGCTGAGTAAACATGAATGACACCCCTTTTATAACCGGTAAGGTTTGGAGTTTGGGCGCCTCAGGCCCGCGAAGACTTCCCCGGCTGAATAAGGCTTCATAACATTGTCAAGCAAGCCCCAGCAAGACCTTTGCCAGGATTGGTTCTTGGTAAATGAAACCCACAAACCGTCCGCCCATGTTGTCCTTGGGGGTTGGCTGCTTTCCAAGCTGGCCGTGGAAGTGTCCGTTTTTTGGGGTCTTTGGGGATCTTTCGGGGTCTTTGGGGGTCTTTGGGGTCTTTGGGGTCTTTGGGGTCTTTGCGATCTTTGGGGTCTTTGGGGCACATCAGCTTTTTCGTATCAAACACCCACCCGCTCGCCCGCCCGCCCACCCACCCACCCAACCCACCCACTCACCCACCCAACCCACCCACTCACCCACCCACCCACCCACCCAACCACCCACACACGCACACACGCACGCACTCACTCACGCGCGAACGCAAGCGCGCACGCACGCACGCACGCACCCACACACCCACGCACCCACGTACCCACGCCCTTGCACCTACACGAATTGACAAAAGGTGCACCACTGAAGGTCTGGGCTACTAACCCTTTGTCATTTTTCTTGTGGAAATTCGGTATTTTGCGGGACCCACCCTATGAATCCGCCACTCGCCAGTTATGCATTCCACTTGTTTTCTCAACGCTGCTTATTGGCTTATTGGCTTCCTAATTCTTGCAGGCGTCGAGGGGCATTTGCATATGCGGAATCTCTAGCCGGAAAACCAGCATTCTAACGTGGGCACGCGTAGAAAAACAAAGACAATTGCAGCACCTGAGTCAAGACGCTTTCCCCAGGCACAATCATCAAGCAAATGCCAGGCTGTGCAAAGTATGGGACCCGATACCACGGCCAATTGCAACAAACTTGGGCCAAAGGGCGTGACTAGGCCCCCCAGATCGTTCTCATCCAGGTCTTGGTCCGTGAAGTTCACCTCTATGGGCACCTGCCTGTCCAAGCCAGGGGGGGAGGGTGTGTCGGGAATGGGGGGGGAGTTTGGTTGTTAAGGTTCTGACTTGCTGTACTGTTCAAATAAAGTTCAGTTCTTGCGGCTTTGATCATTCTGAAAGGCCTCAGTTGTGTTACGTTTTCGGGCGCAAGCGGAGGGGGAGAGTTGAATTGCAGAACACTGGCTCTGGGGAGGAGGTAAACACACGGGATCTGTTCACTTGAGACATTTCAACTTGACATGGGGTGCTCCGACAAATATTCCGCACCCTGCGTTCGAGCTTGTAGGCAACTTGTTTCACATCATTGGGTGGATGGGGTGTCCTGGCAAGCACCTGCTCCCCATATTCTTGACTATCCGAAGGCCCCTGGTAAGCAGGCGCAAGGGTTCCGAACACACACCCAGGTAGCCTCTCGGGTCTCAATCCAGGCGCTTCGACCCTTAGAAAAATCTAGTGTACAGGGGAAACCAACCCCAAGTGATCCCAATCCTCCTGCATCTGGGACACCAGCCCATGAATAAACCAGAGGTACTCCGGGGTTAACATTTAAGGGAAGCCCCCTGTTTAAGCGAAACCTTGTCCATCCCCCTGAAGTTGCATCTTCTTGGGGGATCTTCGTGGTGTCATACAACTGGTGCTGGAAACCTGCCCTTCCGTCCACGAACGTGATACATAACTGATCCTGGAAGATCATGTCCTCTGTCGTGGGTTCCAAGTTGGTTGACGGAAGGCACATGTTCCCTAATCTCCCCAGTGGATTCCAGTTGCAACTACAGTAGGCAACCAGCAATTGTCTTATTGCTGTCCTTTAGTTAATGGAATCACTGGGCATGTGTTCAATAGGGAGTGAAGGAAGAACGACGACTCAGACCGGCGACCTTCAGATACCAACCGCAAGCCTCATGTCACACAAAAATTGGATTCCCCATCCCCCCTCAGATCCCAACTATCTGGATGACCAACGAAATAGTAACTGCTCAATCCAAATCAATGGAGCTCCAAAAAAGGAAACCCTCGTGGTCGCAAACCAATCCCTCATTTGCCCAAATGGGCTGACGCATCCCCACTGAAGGGGCCTTGCGCCTGCCAAAGTGGTTTGAGCCTGGTGTACTTGGTATGATTTGTAGGGTTGCAGTTTGGTTTACTTGCCATACGGTGTGCCGTTGATTCCTCACTATGTTATGTCCCTCTCTCTTCAGCTCGGCCCCGTGCGTGTCGTTCAGCTCGGCCGCCGCCGGCGTGCTTTGCTCTGCCAGCGCCGACCTACGCCAGGCCCCTTAACGGGCGGGGAGGAAGGCCAAACCTAACAAAATCGAAGGCTCTAGGGGTTGACACCATTATTTGACAATGTGCAAACTTTCTTGGGCGGTTTGCAGTTCTGGGGGTTGATTCCAACGCAACCATCATTCTTTTCATGGTGGTTTTCTTAAAAGAGAACAATCGCTCATGGGGAAGTTGCCTCGAAGAGGGCCCTGATTCTGATTCCAGGGGTTGCCTTCAAACTATTTCAGTTGCGTGGTGAAGGGAGTAGACCTAGGGAGGAGACCTCTGGGAGGAAACCTCTGGAGCCCAAGGAAAGGTTTGTAGTCCGCCAA